CAGACTTCTAGGTTGACAACATTTGAGAACCCTGTTAGTCTTCAGATTACATCACGGGCCTGGTCCTCAGCTGCTTCTACCCTTCTGCTGTGGAAGACAGCTTCTTAATACAAGCATAACCATCTGATGATGCTTCATGTTCTTGTGATTCGCAGGTATTGTGTTTTTTAGAAATTGATTTCTGGCAACACGTCTCTCGGCACCATTTTTTCACCAGCATTTGCTCACTTTCTGTGTCACGTTGTAGTAATTCTCACAACATTTCTAACTTTTTCATTATTATTGTATTTGTCAGGGTGATCTGTGATCAGTGATCTTCGATGTTACTGTTGTAATTGTCTTGGTGTATCATAAATTGCACATATAAAAGACGGCAAGCTTAATCAATGAATGTTGTATGTGCTCTGACAGCTCCACTCATCAGGCAATTCCCCGTGTGTGTCTCTCTCTCCTCCAGCCTCCCTATACCGAGACACAACAATATTGAAATTAGGCCAGTTAATAACACTACAATGGTCTCGTAGTGTTCAAGTGAAAGGAAGAGGTGCATGTGTCTCACTTTAGATCAAAAGCTGGAAATGACTAAGCTTAGTGAGGAAGGCAGGTTGAAAATCTGGATAGGCTGAAAGCGAGGCCTCTTGCACCCAACAGTTAGCCAAGTTGTGAATACAAGGGAAAAGTTCTTGACGGAAATGAGAAGTGGTACTCTAGCAAACCCACGAATGATAAGAAAGCAAAATAGCCTTACACTGATATGGGGAAAGTTTGAGTGGTTGGATAGATCAAACCAGCCACATCATTCCCCTATGCCAAAACGTAATGCAGAGCAAGGCCTTAACTCTCTTCAATTCTGTGAAGGCTGAGAGAGGGGAGGAAGCTGCAAAAGAAAAGTCTGAAGCTAGCAGAGTTTGCTTCTTGACGTTTAAGGAAAGAAGCAGTCTCCATAACATAGAAATGCAAGGGGTGGGGGTGCCTGTATGGCTCGGTCAGTTAAGTGTCCCACTCTTGATTTCAACTCAGGTCATGATCACGGGTCAGGAGATTGAGCCCTGTGTGGGCTCACACACTGAGCATGGAGCCTGCTTAAGACTCTCTCTCTCTCTCTCAAAGGAAAAAAAATGTATAAGGTGAGGTAGCAACTGCTGATGTCAAAGCTGCAGCAACTTATCCAGAAGATCAAGCCGAGATCGTTCACGAAGGTACTGCACTCAATAAATAAAAGTGGGACACCTGGTGGCTCAGTGGGTTGAGCCTCTGCCTTCAGCTCAGGTCATGATCTCAGGGTCCTGGGATCGAGCCCCGCATCAGGCTTCAGCCTCAGAAGGGAGTCTGCTTCCCCTTCTCTCTCTGCCTGCCTCTCTGTCTACTTGTGATTTCTCTCTCTGTCAAATAAATAAATAAAATCTTTTTTAAAAAAATAAACAAAACAGCCTTCTGCTGGCAGAAGATGCCATCTAGAACTTCCATAGTGAGATCAAAGTCAATGTCTGGCTTTAAAGCTGCACAGCACCGACTTGATTCTCTTGCAAGGGGCTAATGCAGCTGGTGGCTTTAAGTTGAAGCCAGTGCTCATTTACCATTCTAAAAGTCCTAGGGCCCTTAAGAATTCTGTTAAACCTACTCTGCCTGTGATCTATAAATGGGGCAAAGCTTAAATGATAGCACATCTGTTTACAACATAGTTTACTACCTGCTTGCTTAGAAAAAAATATTTCAAAATGTTACTGGTCATTGACAATGTCACCAAGTCACCCAAGAGCTCTGATGGAGATGTACAAAGAGGTTAATGTTATTTTCACGCATCACACAGCATCCATCCTGCAGACTGGATCAAGGAGACCTGGAACAAGACTTGAAAGTCTTATTATTTAAACAAATATATTTCTTAAGGCTATAACTGCCATGGATAGTGATCCTCTGATGAGTCTGCACAAAGTAAATGGAAAACCTTCTGGAAAGGATTCACCATTCTAGATGCCATTAAGAACATTCGTGATTCCTGGGAAGTGGTCAAAATACAACATGAATAAGGGTGTGGAAGAGGTTAATTCTGACCTTCCTGGATGACTTTCAAGGATTGGAGACTTCGGTGGAGGTAGTAACTGCAGATGTGGTGGAAACAGCAAGAGAACTAGAACTAGAACTAGAACTAGAACTGGAACTGGAACTGGAACTGGAACCGGAACCGGAACTAGAACTAGAACTAGAACTAGAACCAGAACTAGAACCAGAACTAGAACTGGAACTGGAACTAGAACTAGAACCAGAACTAGAACTGGAACTAGAAGGGGAGCCTGGAGCTGGGGCTTCATGGCTACAAACTCATGACCAAACCTGAACAGCTAGGGAGTTGCTTCCTCTGGATCAGCAGAGAAAGTGGTTTCTGGAGACAGGAACTAGTCCTGATGAAGACACCATGAAGGAGGCTGAAATGACAACTAAGGACTTAGAATATCACATCCACGGTTAGAGCAGGGGCAGGGCTTGAGAGGACAGACCCCAGTTTTGAAAGAAGTTCTACTGTGGACAAAATGCTATCCAACAGCATCCCACGCAACAGAGACATCATCCATGAAGGGAGAGTTGATCAATGTGGCTAAAATTGTCTGATTTTAAGAAATTGCTGCAGGCACCCCAACCTTGAGCAACCGTCACTGTGATCAGCCAGCAGACATCAACATCAAGACAAGACACTTCACTAGCAAAAAGATTATGATTCACTAAAAGAGGATGGTTAACATTTTTTAGCCATAACGTATTTTTTTTTAAAAGATTTTACCCATTTATTTGACAGAGACCACAGGTTGGCAGAGAGGCAGGCAGAGAGAGAGAGGAGGAAACAGGCTCTCCGCTGAGCAGAGAGCCCGACGCAGGGCTCGATCCCAGGACCCTGGGATCACGACCCGAACCGAAGGCAGAGGCTTTAACCCACTGAGCCATCCAGGCGCCCCAGCCATAACGTATTTTTAAATTAAGGTACGTACATTGTTTTTGTAGACACAATGCTATAGCATCCTTAATAGACTATGGTATAGTGAAACATAGCTCTTACATGGAATGGGAGACTACAATTCATTTGACTCACTTATTGCACTATTCACTCTATGGTGGTGGTCTGGAACCGAACCTGCAGGGTCTCTGAGGCCTGCCTAAAAACTTGCTGGGGGGGGATCTCATTTGTTTTCACAGTTAGCTTTTAATTCATTATCCTTGATTTTTCATTGTCTCTTTTAAAACTCTTCATTGCTTCCAGCAATAGACATCCAATACTATTGTCTTTATAATTACTACTGTCTCAGTACCTCGTACTCCACACTGGGGTGCCCTCCCTCACACTGGTGTGCCAACCCAGTCCATCATCTGAAAATGTTAACAATTGTAACCCTGTCTTGGGACTGTGCTGCATCTACGGCCAGGGATGGGGTCCTCATTGCCAGCCGGGCAGCAAGGGATCTAGCTCCATATTTATCTGAGAGAGAAAGAGAGAGTACACACACGAGCTTGTGGCTGGAGTGGGTGTGGGGAGGAGTGCATGGCAGAGGGAGAGGGAGAAGCAGACTCCGCACTGAGCATGGAGCCCAATGCAGGGCTCGATCCCAGGACCCCAAGATCATGACCTGCGCCAAGGGCAGATGCTTAACTGAGCCACCCAGGTGCCCCCCAAGTCCATTATCGCATCTGCCTTCCACCCTTCCTGGCACCAACTATCACAGGTTGGATTCTCCATGGAGCCAGGCAGAGAGTTTCTAAGGGAGCTCTCTCAGGATACCTGGAAGGAGACTGGAAAGAAGCAAGACTAAGCAAAGAAAGAAACTGCACCGCAAAGCCAGCCCAACAAGGTGTTGACGATCCTGTCAGGGAGCTCAAATCTGCAATTGCCCTTCTGTGTTACCCGAAGTTCAGGGGAAGCGCCTGGCATTCATATGTTCCCACCAACCAGTCATTAGATACCGGCTGCCCTGGGAAAAGGTGGAGCCTTGGACAAGGTGGCTCTTTTCAGCAGAGACTGATTTGCGTAAGTCCTCAGTGCTGACGAGGAGATCTGGACCGTGCAGAACAGGATTCATGAAAACGATGCTTAGAAGCTTTTCAGAACTCAGGGGAACCAGGATGGGAAAAGCCTTCAAGAAGAGGAAGTGTTTGGACAAGAACAAGCTTCTTGTTCTCCCATAACTGTTTGCTTGATTTGCTAGTGAATAGGATTGGATTCTAGTTCTAAAATTTGCTCTGTAAAATAATCTCACAGATTACTTTGTTGATAAGACTTCTAGAAACATCTGAACAAAAATAATTATTTCTTGAGTTTAGAACAAGAGACCCCAGACAGCTTAACATGTTGATTATAGTTCTGCTTTAATAGGATAAGGTTTGAAAATACATAGATATCCAGGGAGAAAAGTAAAGCAGTATGAATTATTGAGAACATACTGTGCTTTACTTTGGGTGTTCCATTTCTAATTGTAACAGCAATCATACTTCTCAACGAACAATGTCCACCAGCTCTGCAAACACATCCAGTGGTAACATTAGAGTAATACACTTTATACTGGACTTGTCAAACGGCTGCTCTATAAATTCATCATGTGTTGCATCTGGGTTTTTCATAAGAAAAGAGGCATATCTATAATTCACAACCAGAGTCAGGTTTCTGAAGACTTAGATATGAAATATTGCCTGCCAACTTGCTTCTCAAACTGAACTTTTAAAATAAGTATAATTTATTCTTTAAAGCAATTTTATAGACAAGAATGGTCCAGTTAATTTCATAATGACGTTGGTTGAATATGATACAAAGGAAATACAGGTATTTTCCAGGACAATAGGATAAAGGAAGCTTTAAGAATTCACGAGGGAAAAAAGGTAATAAAACCTAAACTTCTTTTTCAGATGTTTTAAAGTTTCCATAAGACCTTTTGTTGCAAAAGTAATCATTTAACTATGATACATAAAATATATTGAATGCACTGCCTGACATCAAGATGGAAACTCTTTTACACTCTTTTACATAATAAAATTCTTTTCTGGTCCATCTTGAACCAAGTCCTGGTTGTCTGATGGTGGATTTCTCTTCAGAGGCCGAAAGTTGTAATAAAATGCATTGTTTTCATCTACTGGTTGGTATTCCTCTTCAATTTCAATTAAGCCACTTCCAGATCCTGATCCAGAGCCAGAGCCAGAGCCAGACACAAAATAGTCCTCAGAAAGAGGGAAGACATTATTCAAGTTCTGGGGTCTTGTCATTCTGAAGTAAGAGAAAAATGAAAGGGAAAAAAAAAAAGTAAAGTTTGAGACTTAAGGAATATAATCATAATAAATTTTTTAAGATAGAAAATTAATGCAGCCAGCTGGTTGCTCAAATTAAAAGTTAAAAGTTTCCCAGTTATTCAATGCTTTAAAACAAAAAACAAAGCAGACCTCTCTACATGTTTGCCTATACTTGTACTTAACTCATTCTATTTATCAGTCAACATCTATGCATTGCAGACTCATAATAAACAATGCTACTTTTCTTACCACTAGCATAGTAATTCTGTACTTGGTAAATTTAAGGAGTCATTTATTTAAAAAGAAGAAGAAGAAGAAGAAGAAGAAGCAGCAGCCTTTCCCATTTTCTTCCATTAAAGAAAGGACAAACAAGTGTAAGTTAGCTTAGATAGATGACATTTTTTTCTAACATAAAATTTCTACAAAACTTGTAATAATTCACAAAATATCAACAAAACTCATTCTTAAGAAATTCTCTAACTAGTTAAACATTATGTTTACCACCAATTAACTAATTTCCTCTCAAAAAGTAAGTGTATTCATTCAGCTGGGCTCAGTTTGGTGGTTAGAAGTCCACTCAGCACCAAAGACGGGAGGAATGGTGTTACCCCTCAGTGGTAGAACAAGGCAACTAAGCATCTGAGACAAAAATTAATATTATAGTCTATGGGTCATGTTTTCCATGAAAATAACAATCCACAGGCCATATAACAGATTAGAGCTTCATTCATGCGTGCATTCAGTAAATATTGAACATCCGATTCCTGTTCTAAGTGCCTAGTTAAGAATGGGGACTGACAGATTAGGTCCCTGCTCAAGAAATTTAGAACTTGTTGGGGAAGACAGACAATAAAAAATGAATAAATCAGGAAAACACGAGGCGGTGCTAAATGCCTTGTGGAGAAGTGAAATAGACTAATGTACTAGAGGGTGACCAGCGGGTTAGTTACACTGTGAGGTCAGGGAAAAGGGATCAGAGCTGGAAACACAGATCGGTAGCGCCATATGCATGCCCGCACATGCGCACGCACAGTGGAAGCCATAGAAGAGGATGAGGTCACCTAAACAAAGATGCAGATCGAGAAAGGGCCTTGGACAGAGTCAGGGCCACACCAACAACTTATTAAATACTGAACGGAGGAGAAAGAACAATCAGGGAAGCAGAAGAAAACTCAAGATAAGGTGGGGCCATGGAAGCCCAGAGAAGAACGCATTTCGAAGGGAGGAAAGAAGGGTTGGGGGCGGGGTCGGTCAACTGTTTTTGAAGGTAATTAAGAAGCTCAGTAAGGAGAGGAGTAGAGAAGTAAACAGTGGATGTGTTAAGCAGGAGTAACCGCGACCATAACAAGGACTCTTGAGTGGAAGGTGGGAACAGAAGTTCAAACAGAAGGGGTAGAGGAGCGGGGGAGATAGGAAGCATCCCTTTCGGTAAGTTTTCCTGTGCAGAGGAGCAGATGGCTGGCAGGGATGCAGAGTCAAAGAAGAGAGTTCACCTGACTGTACAAGATGCTAGAGAATGTTTGCACACCGACAGCAAGAAGATACTGGGCTCAGAGGAGTAACGGCAGAGCTGACGTCCTAGATAAGTGAAGCCAGCTAGCGGATAGCGAGGAAACTCAGAGTTGGGCTACAGTAAGGAAATACCTCGCTCTCTGGGCTAGAGGGGTAATGGAAGAAGGTGGTATTATCTGATCCCAGCATCTGGCAGGAGAGAAGCCATGGATAAGACAGAGGTAGGGCTTGAGAAGAAATATCCTGGTCTCCCCCTGCCTCCTTTGCTCCCCCATCTCCCTCCTGTGCCTTCCATTGGCCAAACACAGCCACAGACCTGGGAGCCTAAGAAAGGCAGACAGTGGGATGAGCCCTCACTCCCCACCCAGTACAGAGCAAGAAGGGAAATGGAAGATGGAAAGGAGGGCAAATGGGCCCAGGACTGATACAAGAGCAGAGATGGTTCATTCATAAGTGTCAGGAGTGTGAGAGTAAGAAGGAAGCTTTCCTGGCTGGGGAAAGGGGAAGATCAAAGAGATTTAAGAAGAGAAGAAATGGTGCAAAACAGTTGTTTTGGAGAACTTGGGTTATTCCTCTAACATTTTAGATTTAAATGAATTACTATGGAAACCCCTGAGTTAAAACCAAGGAGGATGTTATGAAATCAGTTTCAGGCTTAATGCTGTGGGCTAAAAGCGGCAGCACAGGAGCAGGACGGCAGACTGGCATTTTGAGGGTGGTGATGATGTCATCTCTCATGCAGTGAATGCCAGTGATGAAGAGAGTCACCGGGACCCTCAGACGGATGATGGTCTTACCTGGCATGGACTTGATGATCCACCCAGCTTCAAGGAGAGTGACTTTCAACAGCTAATCTTTTAAATCTAAGGAATAAGCCTTCTACAAGAATCCTTTTCATAGTACAGTTTTGCTGCATGTTATATAACTTTGATATTCATTGAAATAATTGATGCTAAGACAATTCCATTTTGGTTACTTACGAATTCCTGTTGGATCTTTTTTGCAAGTTTAAAGCAGGTTTGAGTTGATCAAGAAGAGGTCTGGCTTGCTCTCTGACAAGCCATGGCCATTTATTCTTCCTTTCCCTAATTTCTTTTTCACTACTATCTAATCTCAGTACATTTTTATCGTCCCTCAAAAATCCCGCACCTGTACTCCCCACTCTAGTCCTCTCTCTCCTCCAGCCCCCCAGGACCACTCATCTATCTCCCACCTTTATAGATTAGCCTATTCCAGACATTTCATGTCGACAGAATCATACAACGTGTGGCTTTCTGTGTCTGCTTTCTTTCACATTGCGTAATGTTTTCAGGACTCATTCATGTGATAGCATGTATCCGTAGTTTGTTGTCTCTTTGGGCCAAATAATAGTCCACTTAATGGAAAAACTATGTTTTGTTTACCCATTCAGTTAACATACTCCGATTGGGTTTCAATGGATACTGTGCTCTACTTACATAAATAATGTTCACTCATTTCCAGTACTTGTTGGTGAAAAGCACTCGATGTCTGTCTCTGCCCCCACAAAAAGACCTTACAAAAGTATAGATGAGGGGCACCTGGGTGGCTCAATGGGTTAAAGCTTCTGCCTTCGGCTCAGATCATGATCCCAGGGTCCTGGGATCGAGCCCCACATCGGGCTCACTGCTTGGCGGGGACCTGCTTCCCCATCTCTCTCTCTGCCTGCTTCTCTGCCTACTTGTGATCTCTGTCTGTCAAATAAATAAATAAAATCTTTTTTAAAAAGTATAGATGAATCGTGCATTCTTGCGCATCTCAAATGCCAGTAAACACAGTACTGTTTTATTACATACTGTGCAGCGAGAACCAAACCATCAAAGCAAGAGGCTGAAGAAAGACCTTCTGGACAACGCTCCCATCTCCAAGCCAAGATCTTAACAGATGTGGGTGAAAGGAAAATAAGGGGAAAGTTCACTTACGAAGAAGGGTCGGTCCTCAGAGGAAGGATTCTCTTGGATTCCCCTGGAAGCAAGTTGAACGTGGGTCCCTTTTCATCAATGCAGTTTGCAGAATTGCCGTCAGGACTGCAGCGTACCCACTGGTACCTGGCTCTGCGCACAGGAAAACCTGCCCAAACAAGGAAGCCACATGGTTAATTCGTATCTCTTATACTGCTTCTAATCACCCTGTTCTTAAGAAACTTTTGATTCAGTTGATTCTAAATTTGACAGAAGGTAAGGTGTGGGCCGGTTTTATGACCGTAAATATAACAGATGTACCTGCTGTGTGCCAGCCTTTTATACACATTGTCCTCACAACAACCCTGAAAAGTAGCCCAGAGTTTAAGGTTAGAATAGGGCTTTGGCAGGGGCACCTGGGTGGCTCAGTCAGTCAAGCGTCTGGGATCAGGTCATGATCCCAGGGTCCTGGGATCGAGCCTCTCATGGGGCTTCCTGCTCAGCAGGGAGCCTGCTTCTCCCTCTCCCACACCCCCTGCTTGTGTGCCCTCTCTTGCTGTGTCTTTCTCTGTCAAATAAATAAATAAAATCTTAAAAAAAAAAAAAGAATAGGCTTTGGCAAACAGCTGCCTGGAGTAATGTCCCAGCTCTGCTACTGGTGAGCTGTACTTTTCTAAAAAAAATAAAATAAAATAAAATAAAATAAGTAAATAACTCTTAAAAAGAGGGGGGGCTGGGTGGCTCAGTGGATTAAGCCTCTGTCTTCGGCTCAGGTCATGATCCCAGGGTCCTGGGTCCGAGCTCCACATCTGGTTCTTTGCTCAGCAGGGAGCCTGCTTCCCCCTCTGTCTGCCTGCCGCTCTGCCTACTTGTGATCTCTCTCTCTATCCAATAAATAAATAAAATCTTAAAAAAAAAAAAAAAGAGCATCAGCTCTCTGGAGACTGATATCGATTCTCCAGGGTAGATTATTAAATTTTTAAAAAGTAAGGAACACTATGCATTGTGGTAACGTGTGTGTGTGTGTTTTTAAGACTGTATTTACATACATGCTTACATGCAAGTATCTTGAACCTCTGAACAGATACAGAACAAACAGGCTCTCTGAGGGAATGGGTAGGCAGAAGACAGTGGTACGTTACTGCATATCCTTTGAAGCTTTATTTATTTATTTTTGAGAGAGAGAGAGAGAGAGAGAGAGAAAGGGGGGGAATGAGTGGGGGAGGGGCAGAAGGCGACACATACTCCCCGCTGGTCTGGGACAGCCAGTCATCCAAAATGGGTTAGTTCTGTCACTGCCTGGAGCCTGGAGGTAAAGTAGCAAGATAACACACAATGTCTGCCCCTTACTGGCTATGTATCCTTGACCAACTTACTTAACCTTCCTGTACCTCCATAGATCGAATAATGAGATATAAACACTAGGTTCTTAGAATAACACCTGGCACCAGGTCCGAGCTCTCTCCATGTTAGTTTCTCTGATGAGGAGGAAGACCACGGTGACCAATCTCTGCTAGTGGACAGCTTATAGGGATCAAGAATTTAAATACTCGTTCTACCATTTGGTACCTGATTCTCAATTTCTCATCATTCAAAGGTGAATAACAGAGCCCCAAAGAGTTCCAGTCCAAACGAGATAACAGTATGTAAAACATCTAGCACAAATCTTTAGGTATGGTATTTACTATGTTTTCGTTTTCTTTCTCCGTCTCTGATCCTTTCCCAAAACAGCCTAAGACTGACATCTGGTTGCTACTTAGAAGCCCCGTTATTGTACGTGGGGTAGAAACCCAACATCTCCAGCAGAGGGCGCCAGCTTCACGCTCTGTGCCGGCCAGACCAGGGCTGTTCAACAGCGTGAAGACAAACCACACAGGTTATTTTCAGTGTTCTAGCAGCCGTATTTTTAAAAGTAAAAAGAGACAAGCGAAATTAATGTCAACACATTTTACTCATCCAATGTATTCAGATATTGCTATTTAATATAAATATATTAAGCAATATACAAGTTATTAATATTTTACATTTTTCTTTTCATGTTAGTCTCCAAATCTGGTGTCTATTTTGTACTTAACAGCACATGTCAGTTTGGACTTTTGCCACATTTCAAGTGCTCGGGGGCTATCGTTCTGGACAGGGTAGGTCTCGGCATTCTCCTTTACATGCAATTGGTGTGCATGCAACTGAGGTAATGTTTGCAGAGATAGGAAGTTACGCAGAAAAGCAAAACTAAAACTTTAGGAGGAAGCGTCCAGGTGAAAGACTGTATTTTTTCACCCACGTAACAAATACAACTTTGGCCAATTAGTGAAAACAAATTATAAAATACAAAATCCACCCCCCCGCCGCCCCAGAATTCAGAATCTGTTTTTGAAATTTATAGAGGGATTTCTTGGGGAGCCTGGCTGGCTCAGTTGGGGGAGCATGAGACTCTTGATCTCAGGGTTGTAAGTTGAAGCTCCACACAGGGTGTAGAGATGACTTAAAAATAAAATCTATTTTTTTAAAAAGAGGGGCTTCTTTTTGGGGGGGATGATAGGAGACTGTGGTGATAGTTGCATATATCTGTCAATATACATTAAAAAAACATTGAGCTGTACACTTTATTTTTTTAAGAATGTATTTATTTATTTGAGAGGGAGAGAGAGTGAGTGAGCAAGAGAGAGAGAGAGCACAAGCCAGAGGAAGAGACAGGAGAGAAGCAGACTCCCATTGAGCAAGGAGCGAGATGCAGGACTCGATCCCAGGACTCGATCCCACACCCCCTCTGGGATCATGACCTGAGCTGAAGGCAGATGCTTAACCGACTGAGCCACCCATGTGTCCCTGAACTATACACTTTAAATGGATGAACCGTATGGTTTGTGAAGCCTATTTCAATGAAGCTGTTTAAAAACTTGTAGAAGTCTCCCCCCTCCCCCCCAAAAAAAGTTTATCTAATCTGGGGCTGATCATTTTCAGTCAGCTCTAAAATAAAAAGCATGGTTACAGACACAAAGTTCCTGACGTATCTACTGAAGGGTATTGGCATGATGTGAATTCAACAGTGTCAGCCTCTGCTGTCATGGGACTACTTTGACTCTATCTTGCTTGGGAGCAATGTATTATGATTACCGTAATTGAAAAAAAAAAAAAGAAAGAAAGAAAAGAAAAGGGAGAATGCTAGTGGACACAAAGGTTATCTTCCTCAAAAGCCCCACCTGCTGGATCTGCTGGTTAATTTTGTGGTGGATTCCAGGGAAAAGAGTGGTTTTATTTAGAATCCTTTCCCTCACTGTCCCCACCACAGCACATGCGCGCGCGTGCACGCGCACGCACACACACACACACACAATGTCACTAGTCCTGCTTTACCAAAATGCTTTCTAAGAATGAACATTACTCCTGTCATCCCTCTGCAACTTTCTTTAAAAATATTTTTACTTTTTATTTTATTAAAGTAGTCTCCATGGCCAACACTGGGCTCGAACTCACAACCATGCTCTATGAACTAAGCCAGTCAAGTGCTCCTCTCTGTATCTTTTTATACTGTTATACCAAAATTTCCCTAACATCATCACAATTTACCAAATTCCTGTTCTTAATGGAGATTTGCTACAGGTATGTTACAGCAACTTAAGCGGAAAATGCCATGGGGGGGGGTGGGTAAAAAAAAAAGATCATTTTTGGTCATTGTTTTGGTAGCATTGAAACAGACATCACATCACTAAGCTGCAGTTGCTTCCTATTGGAAAATCAATTCCACAAGACACGTAAGGTTCCCCCAACCCTGCATGGTTTGACAAGCTATAAACGTTCCAAGTTTACTTTCAATTTCTCTCTCTCTAACCTTCAATTCAGTGGTAAACTTTATAGCAAGTCTACCATAGTCAAAGCAAGGGTTTTTGTTTTATTTTTTTAAATATTTTATTTATTTATTTGACAGACAGAGATCACAAGTAGGCAGAGAGGCAGGCAGAGAGAGAGAGGAGGAAGCAGGCTCCCTGGTGAGCAGAGAGCCCAATTCGGGGCTCGATCCCAGCACCCTGGGATCATGACCTGAGCTGAAGGCAGAGGCCTTAACCCACTGAGCCACCCAGGAGCCCCAGGGTTTTTGTTTTATATAAAGAAAATCTCAAAGTCATAAGTTCAAGTCTCATAAGGGGCCCCTGGGTGGCTTGGTCATTAAGCATCTGCCTTCGGCTCAGGTCAGGGTCCCAGGGTCCTGAGATCGTGTCCCACATGAGGCTCCCTGCTCAGCAGGAAGCCTGCTTCCCCCTCTCCCACTCCCCCTGCTTGTGGTCTCTCACTATCTCTCTCTCTGTCAAATAAATAAAATCTTTTAAAAAAATGTTCGAGTCCCATGTTGGGTGTAGCAATTACTTAAAAATAAAATCCTTAAAGGGGCACCTGGGTGGCTCAGTGGGTGAAGTGTTGACTCTTGATCTCAGCTCAGGTCTTGATCTCAGGGTCATGAGTTCAAGCCCCTTGTTGGTCTCCACACTCAGCGTGGAGCCTACTTAAGGAAAAAATATTTAAAGAGAGAGGGAGGGAGGAAGGAAGGAAGAAAGAAAGAAAGAAAATCTCTAATCTACCTAGAAGACGGCCAAGCTGCAACAGAAAGTTAACTCTGACCCTGAAACCAAATGACCGCTTCTAGCATTAACTAGCTGTAACCGGCCTAAAACAAGTCTCAAATATTTCACAAGAGGTTGATCTAAAGAGCAAATGAGATGGTGAATGCAAGATCAATTTTCTGTCTATAAATCGGTGTTAATTTCTCCTCACAGGGAATGTGATGATCATTTATGAGAGAATGGATACAAAATTACTTTAATCAAACAGCAGCACACACAGGTGAAATCAGTATCTACTATAATCTAGGGAGTGTGGAGTGAACACATGATCTGGCCACACCTGCTCATGGATCTTCCATTTTCTCTCTTTATGGGTATCTTTAAAAAAAAAAAAAACAGACCTTATCAATAATCAATAATTCCCTGGCACTCTACATTAAATCGATAGCCACCTGTGCTCTTCAGGATCTCCTGCACATTGCCAAATTTCCCATCCTTTGCACCTGACAGGCACAATTTTACATCCTGTCTTGACTTGGATTTGACTTATTGTACCTGATACGGGCTGAATTGTGTCCCATCGATTCGTATGTTGAAGTCCTAACCCTCAGTATCTCAGAATGGGATTATATCTGGAGATCGTGCCTTCACAGAGGTAATTAAGGGATAATGAGTTCATACAGATGAGCCCTAGTCCAATATGGCTGGTGTCCTTAGAAGAAGAGACACTAACATAAACACACACACACACACACACAGAGGAAGGACCGTGTGAAGACAGAGGGAAGATGGGCTTCTCCAAGCCAAGGAGAGAGGCTTCAGAATGAAACCTGCCCCACTGACATCTTGATCTCGGACTTCCAGCCTCCAGAACTGTGAGAAAATGTATTTCTGTTAAGCCACACCAGTCTGGGTACTGTGCAGCCTCAGCAAACTAACACAGTGAGACGTTTTGAATATGTTTTTTAAAACAAGTCAAAAGCCAGGTTTGAGCAGTTCAGTCAAATCAATGGTTTAAATAAACATTTTTTAAAAAGATGGGGGACGAATGCTGTTGAATTGCACCTGGCATCCCATGGATGGATGGGAAATGGTGGCGCGCCTTCGGTATGGCTGCCCGGAGCTGCTGGCATGCGCCGTGGGTGGGCATCTCTTTCCCTTCTTATTCAGATGCGGGCACAAGCCCTTAATTCCAACACCAAGGGCACTTCTCCTTTGGAAATACCCTCGTTTTTCAGTTCATTCACTCTATCTTTTTTGGTTCCTTTTCCAACAAAGAGTGAAACCTACCAGGTAATGACATAAATGCTAGTACTTTATACGTTTTCATAATGGTTTCTTCACTTTCTGATGAATACCTACTACGTAAGGAAAGTTTTTGCTGTTTAAAAGATTTTATTTATTTATTTGAGAAAGAGAGAGAGAGCACGAGCAGGGGCAGAGGGAGGGGGGAAGCAGACTCCCCTCTTAGCAGGGAGCCAAACTCGGGGCTTGATCCCAGGTCCCCGAGGATCATGACCTGAGCCACTCAGGTGCCCAAGAATGTTTCTGTTTCAATTCCAGTTTTACCTACTGAATTTTAGTGGGCAATGTGATATTTGGGGGAAATCTCGACTATGTAAAGACTGACTTAGCTCTAGCGGGGGTGGACCCCCCCCCACTAGTCACTCGAGTTTGTGCTACAGATGTAGACCTTATTACTCAGGATCTTGTCAGAACACATTAGGGAATTATTTCATCAAGCTCCAGATTTTCCCTAGAAGACCCAAGACTGTTTCTTAAAATCAATACTGTTTTATGTTTTAAAAATTACAGATTATAAAAAAATTTTAAATACATAATTAGTAGAAAAGTTTCAGCAACATTATTTGCAGTTATTTTCTTCAATAATTGCATAACAAGAAGAAAATTATTTTATAAGTTTCCAATATATAATGAATATATCTGAGATTATCTGTACGATTTCATTTCCACCAGAAGTAAAAATGGGACAACTAGAAGTCACTTCGAAGAAACAAATCCAGGACATGTGTGTCACTATTTCTTGTACAAATTGGGAAAATTTAAAGAATTTTCTTCTATAAATTCTCCCGTGTGTTTATCAGGCCATGACCTTCTGCCTTATTTAGACATGATCCCATATTTACCAAAAGAAAAGAAACTATATTCTTCTTACAAACTGGTCGTTTCTGTTGTCTTCATCATAAGGATATTAAGTTGTTTCAGTCTGACTAAACAACCCTAAATGATAGAGAAACCTAACAAGAAATTTCCAAATGTAATGTCTAGTAGCACAAATACTAAAATTCACTGGTCTCTCTTTAAACCAAGAGGGTTTGTACTATGTCTAACCATAGTTGAATTTTCACTAAGAACTCAATTTTTTTTAAAAAAAAAAAAAAGGAAAAAATACACAGTCAAGTTTACTCTGATTTTTAAAGTATATCACTTTCCACTGTTAGAATAATTATGACACTACCATAATATGTTAAAACTTGGGACTGATATAAACCCTTAGGGAGAGGTAGGTACTCTCTCAACAGTCCATCTTCTCCTGTATTCCTTTCTGGAGTTTTAAAAACTTTTTTCATTTAAAATTCAATTTAACTAACCTACGGTATATTATTCAATTTCAGAGGTAAAGTTTAGGGACTCGTCAGTTGACCTTCCTTGAGGTTTTAGAAGTTTATAAACTATACCTTTTTTTTTTTTAAGATTTTATTTATTTATTTATTTATTTATTAGAGAGATGGAGAGAGAACACAAGTAGGCAGAGCAGCAGGCAGAGGGAGAGGGAGAAGCAGACTCTCCACTGAGCAGGGATCCCGATGTGGGGCTCGATCCCAGGACTCTGGGATCATGACCTGAGGCAAATTAACCGACTGAGCCACCCAGGCGCCCCAAACTATACCTCTTCATCAAAAAATAAAAGAACACCTTTCGAGCACGGTGAGAGTTTACGAGGCCACACCTGTCTCAGCGTGTCATTTTTCTTAACTAAACTCACATTAAAGAGTTCAGCATCCCCCCTCCATCCTTTCTCTTTGCCTCCTTGCCTATGATATAATACATTCTGTACCTTAAAGTGACTATAATCATTTGTGTGGACCCCGGGGCTTGCAAAAATAGAGGGGGAGGGGGACGAGATTCCTGGGTCTTACCTTGAACTGAAGAATCCAAAACCAGGAGGAGGGCAAGAGCCAGGGCGAGCCTACTGCCCAAGAGGAGCGGCTGCATGGCGACGGGCTCACGTCAGCTCTGCTGCCTGCACGCTGACCTCACGGTGAGGAAATGCAGCAGGGTGCACTCTGTCCCTTTTAGAAAAAGTTCCAAAACCTCAAACCCTGCCCAGAACCCACGTCATGATTTCCTGAACAAATAGAGATCCACATCAAAACCCAGCAAGATAAAAAAAAAAAAAGAAGAAGAAGAAGAAGAAGACAGCAAAAGCTCTATTCATACCCGTTATGAAACTTCTCTGGACTCTCCCGGGTCTGCTTTTTCGAAAGTTTTGTTGTTTGCCACTTGCCTGTTGGTAATTTTTTCCCACTAAAGCAGCAGAATCAGCATTCGGTATAGTCTGTTTTTTCCTTTCTTCAGTGAACCACCTAAACACCAGATGGTTAACCAGAGAGTGTGGACTGCCCTGGGGGCGAGAGGGAGCTGGGGGAGGGTGGGGGCTGCCTTTCCATCACCGGGGACCTTCAACCTAAAATATGGATGTTCTCCTTCATCAGGGGTAGCCTAGCTCACTGAGTCAAGCTCCAGAAGCGAGGGTTCAGAGCGGAGTTGTCCTCTAGGAGGAAGTGGTCTCCGATTTCAGAGAGCCCGCGTCCTCTCCTCGGACCGGCTGCTTGCCCTTGGACCGCGGGGCCTCCCCTCTGCCTCCAGAACCCAGGGAGGACTTCCGGTTGGCAAGAACCGGCTCAGAGAAATGATCTCGCGTTCCTCTGCTCCTTCACACCAAGTATCTCTCATCGTTTGTTCCACGTACACTTTCGTCTGCTCCCCCGGTAAGATTGTTCAACTTGGTTTTGGCGCTCCCTGGCCTTGGAGGAGCCGGAGAATCAGAAACAAGCCGAGCGGCCCTCTCAGCCGGCTGCGGGAGCTCAGAAAACCCACTCGCCACAGCCCCAGGTCCCAGGTCCCAGGTCCTGGGCATCGCGCCGAGACCTCCGAAGGACGGTGGGACACCCCGTACAGACAGTAAACACCAGCGGTTATCATGTGTTCTGGCCCTGGGGGCGCGCAGTTTCCTTCTATTCAAGGCTCAGCCACTCTCCATCTCAAGGCCTCTCCCTCCAGCCCCCCTTTCCCTTCGCACCCTCACTCTCCAGTCCTCTGACTCGAGGGAGGAGTTTCCCTTCTCTTGTCTTCAGCTTCCTGCTGATTCCTTTACCATTTCCTGCTGAGGACGGGCCTCGGAATCTAATCGCTGGGGAGCTGTGGTGCGAGTCCCTGAGGGTCATGAAGAAAGGCCCTCTTGACCGTCCTCAGAACCAGCTGCGAGTGCGTCCAGGGACTCCCTTTCTGCTGTGAGGAACCCCCCAAGTCACAACCCCAGTGGGTTCCCTACTATGAATATGGTGTCAGCTTGAAATAACAGCCCTCATCCTCGGTCCCTTTTAACCCTATCCCCAATTTAAAACCCTGGCACCATCAGGGTTTTCTAAAACCAATAATCCCCATCAGTAGCTTCAGTAAAGCCCTGCAAAGCCTCAGGACCGCTCAGAGCTCGGTCTGGTGATTCTTTAAAATAAATAAATAAATGAATGAATGAATGAATGAATGAATGGTTTGGGGTTCTCAAACAATCCCTTCTTCTCCCACTATTCTGACCACCAGCAGTTTCCCTCACTTCGCAGGCAGAGATGCTGGCCACCGACAACTTGTGCTGCCATTCTCGTTCTGACGATGGGGAGGGAAGCCAAGGAGAGAGTGCCCGTGAAAGCTCACAGCTGCGTTCGCAGTCCTCCTCTGGGCTGGGTCCCTACCATCTTCTTGCCCAAAGTTGCCTCCATTGACCAAAGACGATCCTTATTGGTCCACAAACCTTACCCTCTACAACAAATAAGCCTGTAATCCATAATTTTAAAAAGACCAGTTCTGTTCTGGATTTAACCCTTCATTTACCAGGCAACCTGAAATGCACCTACTTTACTTGTCACTCAACTGATTTGCCCATGAAATGGGCCTCTTTATTCCTTAACAATAGCCCTGGAACAGCACACACACCAGGGACACATCTTAAAAAGCCATCAATGTGCCCGCGTCCTCCCCTCTTCATGCAAACATGGCTTTTCACTAGCTATTGGTTTTGGGGTGGTCTTTTTAAATGAAGATTCTTAAAAAGATTTTATTTATTTATTTGACAGAGAGAAAGAGAGATCACAATTAGGCAGAGAGAGAGAGGGAAGCAGGCTCCCCACTGAGCAGAGAGCCTGATTCGGGGCTCAATCCCAGGACCCCGAGATCATGACCTGAGCTGAAAGGCAGAGGCTTAACCCACTGAGCCACACAGGCACCCCTAAAAGCAGATCCTTTTAGAGCACTTGAAACTCTCTGCATCACAACTCAGCAAAATACTTGTTAAGACGTTGAGATGACCTGAGGTTGTCAGAAGGGATACTGAGGGCAGCCCAAAACTGCTTGGAGGGATGGCTCCCGGACTCATTTCTCTTCTCTTCTTTTCTTTTCTTTTCTTTCGTTCTTTCTTTCTTTCTTTCTTTCTTTCTTCTTTTTTTTTTTTTTTAAAGCTCTAAGTTAAAAAGCCTGCCACTCAGCAGCCTCTAGGACCTCCTGGGCTCCTCAGTGAGATGGTCTCGACTCTGAACTGGGCACTACACCAAAAAAACCAAAGTCAAACAGACCCTGTTCCAAATCTATGTCTCTAGAGTCTTAAAACTGACCCTAGCATAAATATTTGATTTCTAGCATGGGAAGAGACCTTAGGAATCACCTCCTTCACCCAACCAGGTGGGAAAACTGCAAGTCCAGAAAGGCACACAACTTGCTGGTCACACAGCTGGTGATTGGCAAAAGCAGGTGTAGGACTCAGGGTTCCTCATGTAAACTCAATGACAGGTGAAGACTAAGATTTATAAATCATCAGTAGTCTTCCTTCTAGTCTTTTTCTTTCTTTCTCTCTTGTTTTTTTAGAGGTACTACTGAAGTACATCTGTTTGGAATGAGAAAATGACTGTGGTTTGCTTCTAAATAATCCAGTTTCAGGAGGGCCATGAGAGAGGGACAGCAGTGGATCACTGAAGGTGAGCAGTGAGAAAATCACTAGTCTCTCTACTTTAATATATTTTTTTTTAGAATTTTCATAACAAAATGCTTTTTAAAAAAAAAATCAGCCTTTTAAAAAATATATCTTTTTCCGGCGCCTGGGTAGCTCAGTCGGTTAAGGGTCTGCCTTTGGCTCAGGTCATGATCCCAGATTCCTGGGATCGAGCCCCACATCGGGCTCCAGCTTAGCGGGGAGTCGGCTTCTCCCTCTCCCTCTGCCTGCTGCTTTCCCTGCTTGTGATCTCTCTCTCTCTCCCCCTGACAAATAAATAAAATCTTTTTAAAAATAAAAAATGAAAAGTGACCACTTTATTCACGGATACCAGGAACCTTCGAGTTTCCCGTTCTTTCAGTTCCGCTCATTCCACCTCTGCCCCTTTCATGGACAGGGAGTCTTGTGGTCACTAAGTCTCGGTCCCAAGGGAGCAGCGACTACTGTGTTCTTAATCCTCTCACAGGGTGTCAGTGGATGGGTGCCTGCAGGATGGTGCTCTGAGAGAGGGCACAGGCTCCCGGGCATCTCCCTGCTGGGCTCCTTCCCTAGTTCTTCCCTTCTTATCACTAAAGCCACACACCCAGTTTACTAGAGCCGGGTCCCTCCTTGTTGAAGAACTCCAGGGAGCTAATCCAGAAGCCTCCTCAGGTGTTGCTAAGTATCTAAAAGTTTGCTGACTTCCGGGTTTTCATCTTGGACTGGAAAAGGGGGAGGCGCAGAGCTCCCCCATCAGAGTTCAGGTCTATAATTTGACAAGAAAAACAAGGGGCAGTGGGTATAGAGGAAATCCCTGTACCTTCTGCGAAATTTTGCTGGGAACCTAAAACTGCTCTAAAAAATAAATTCCATTTATATTTTAGAAAGGCATAAAAGAACTCCTCAGATTCTACCTAAAAGTGCTCTAAAAAATAAATTCTATTTCAAAAGGCATAAAAGAATTTCTCAGATGCTACCTCCATTCAAAAATGACATTCCAATTCTAAAAATTATAGGGCTTGAAAAAACCAAAATTTGCAACAAAAAAGAGCCATATAGATACTATTAATAATAAATAACAGGGGTGCCTGGGTGGCTCAGTCAGTTAAGTATCTGCCTTCGGCTCAGGTCATGATCCTGGGATCCTGGGATCAAGCCCCACATCGGGCTCCCTGCTCGCAGGAGACCTGCTTCTCCCTTTCCCACTCCCCCTGCTTGTGTTCCCTCTCTCGCTGCATCTCTGTCAAATAAATAAATAAATAAAATCTTTAATAAATAAATACATAACTGGGAACAGTGGGATGTGTTACTTCTCTTGGAAATATTTTCACAGGGATCAAAAATATTGGAAACAAATCTTTTAGGGAAAATTTCAAACGTAAGAGAATAGGAGTATACATGCAGGTTAGGGGGAGCTGAGTCTTTTGAAAATGATCAAGAAAGGAGGTCCTTATTTGACTTATCTTTTTCCCAAGACATGCAATCTATCAATACTATTCTAAGTTATTTTTGTATATCTTCAGTAAATTTTATTTTCTAATTAAAAATTAATACATGCTTACCATGGAAAAGCAGGCAGCTGGGGAGTAGCAATGGGGGGAGGGACTCAAAAGAAAGGACAAATCTCTTGTCACCTTCCATCCAGAGATCACCACTGTTACATCCTGCCTTTGGTAATTCAAAGTGGCACACACCACTAGAACGCAGGGTTCCTTCTCATTTTCCCTTATTCCCATTATTTTATACCCTGCTTTATGGGACTACCTAGCCCCATAGGTGTCCCCAAAACTAATTTAATCATCAATTCCCATCAATCCCATAATGCATTCATCAATTTACCACCTCAAGGCTCTGAGCTTCCTCTGCAGAGAAGCCAAGTTCCCCAACCCAGTGACAATATATCCTAAGCTTCACCGCCCAACCTCACTCCTCCTCCCCCAAACACACACACTGAAATTCCAGCCACATACCTGCAATTTTAGTTAACGTTATTGGTCACTAAGGAAGAGGGAAGTCTTTGTCCCTTCATTTATAACCACAGAATATT